TAAGTAAATAGAAAAAAAACAAAATTAAAAAAAAATGTCAGAATTAAAAGGAAATAAAAAAGGATGAGCGGAAAATGAGTAAAGATTTTGAGCTAGGGTAGCCAGAAAGGGCTTCTGAGAGGAAGTGGTGGTCACAGAGGATAAGGGCTCCTGCTAGCCCTCGAGAGAACAGGGAAAGGTGTTCCAGGCAGTGGGTACTGTATGTGTAAAGGCCCTGGGGCAGGATTGTGTATGACACGTTGGAAGAACAGTAAGGAGGCCAGTGTGCTTGGAGCAGAGTGAGCAAGAGGGTGAGAGAGAAGGGGTGGGGAGAGGTCTCTGGGAAGGCCTTTGACCTTCGCATCTAGAATGAAATCCAGGGGTCTCCCTAATTAGCTCTCATTTCGAGGGTATGAAGTGCCATTCTATTTGATGAGAGCAGGGACCAGAGAGGTAAAGTGACTTGTCCAGGGTCACACAGCTGGGGAGAAGCATGAACAGCATTCAAATTCTGCCCACTTCCACTGACCACCGCCCGGCGTGACCCCTGTTGTTCCTTTGTAGCTCCAGAAGATTCGGCGCGATCTACAGGAACATCACAGGCAGGTGCGTCGCCAGGAGCTCTGGGTACAGCTGCCTCTCCTGGAAAGGCAGGGGAGAAGGGGGAGAGGTGAAAGCAGGGTGGGGGTGGGGGCGGGGGCAGGTCATTCCAGGCTTTTTGGTCCTCGTAGGACTTGTGCTTTTTACCCCAGGGAGGTGGGAGCCCTGGAGGGCTGTGGGCAGAGGAGGGGTGGGGCCTAGAACCTTCCAGGATGTCAGTGGATCCACAGTCTTGGGAGTATATCTCCCATCCTCTCTCTGAGCCTCTTCTTCTGGCCTGCTCCCTGGGTTCGTGCGTGGCTCAGATGAGTCCAGGAGTGTTTTTCACACTTTGCAGGTCAGTTGCTTCAGCTCTGAAGGGCCTGTTATGTGTGCCAGACATACCTGGATTACCCTCTTCCTTGTGTCTGAGAGTTCTCAAGGGCCTGGCTCACATCTGAGCCAGGGACAGGTCCGCACCGAGGCCCTGGCTCCCTGCACAGGGCGCCTTGCCCAGGCTGCAGCATGACTTCCACCCCTGCCTGTCCTCCTGCCACCTGGCCTCTTTCTCCTGGGTGCTGGCAGGGCTTTCTGCCGGTGCCAGATGTGCCTGGCAGAAGGCCAGGGCCATGTCTGCGATTTAGCAGGGGCTGGGGTGGGCAGCTCAGGGAACTGGGAGAGACAGATGGGGGAGAGGCAGGAAGCAACCAGAACAGTTATTCATTCAACAGATATTTATCTATCACCTTGCCAAGGGCTGTTGTAGGCGCCAGGAAAATAGCAGAGAAGAACACAGACAAACCCTGGCCCTTGGGGTGAGCAGAGCTTGGTAAATAGAGGTGTCAGATGATGAGGGCTGGGCAAGGTGGATGTGGAATGGAGCAGCCCCCGGGGGAAGTGGGGGACCAGATTGGGAGTGGGTTGCAATTCAGGGTGGTCAGGAAAGACTCATTGAGAAGGTGACATTTGAGCAGAGAACTAAAGGAGAGGGGAGCGGACCATGAAGGTATCTGAAAAACAGCACGTGCAAAGGACCTGGGGCAGTAACCAGGCCCGGCATGCTGGGGAAACAGCAAGGAGGCTCTTCCTGGAGCAGAGTGAGACGGGGGAGGCAGCGAGGGCAGGTTGTGCAGAGCTGTGTGGGCCACGGTGAGGACTTGGGCTTTTACCACAGTGGGGTTGGGAGCCCTGGAGGGCTGTAGGCAGAGATAGGACCTGACTCAGGTGCTCACAGGCTGTCTCTGACTGCTACAGGGAGGACTGACTGTAGCTGGGCAGGAGCTGTGTGGGGGTTGGGGGGACCAGGTGACAGATGTGTGGGAGTATATCTCACACAGTTATGTGGTGAGAAGTAATCAGATTGTGGACCGTGTTTTGGGGAGGGGCCAGAGAGCTCTTACTGAGTATCAAGACTTAAGGGGGGCAAGGCCCCAAGATGGGCCACTTCTGTTGCTGCTCAACCCAGGAGCGTCCTCCCCACCCCCAGGTGATGGTTCTAGCAGCCTTGATGGCCTCTTGGTCCCCAGTAGACCACTTCCCCCTCCCCCTCTTCTCTATTTCCCTCTCCTTGTTTTCCCAGCCTCCTTGCTGTGCATTTAAAATCCCAAGCTAGCAGCAGCAGCCGAAGCCAGCCGCTACTCCCACTCCCACTACTCCCCACCGTCTGCCGGCACACAGCTTTCCCCTGGGAGGGCCAGCTAGCAGGCAGGAGGGAGCAGCACTTTTCATGCTGAGTGCATTAAAGTGCCAGTAAATTGCGCATTAACGAGCCAGGGCGAATTGGGGAAGGCTCCCCTGGGCCTCCTGCGGCTGGGAGGCCCAGCTGGGGAATCCATCACTGCTGGCCCCAGGAGGCAGCCGCCCTAAGCTCTGAAGGCTCAGAGAGGGGTTCCCACATCCCAGACCCTCCCACCACCACTCTGTTTGCCCAACAGGCAGGGGAGGGACCGGGCTGTTCCAAGAGGCCTGTAAACACTGCCTGGCTGCACCTCCCCGCCCCGCCCCCCCCCCCCCCCCCCCCCGCCCGCCCCACGCCCTCTCCCACTCCCCGTCTCCTCTAACTTTGGGAAATTGGCTTTGCTTTTCTGGGCCTTAGTTTTCTCGCCTGCAAAATGGGAATGGCAGTAATGCCTATTAGACACCTGACTGCCATTAGTGCTTATGCTGCGTTTCCTTATTACCTTTCTTTGTGAATCAGAACATTTCCCCAGTATTTTGGAGTCTGCCCTGGGCCAGACGACTTTGAGGGGCTGCTGGAGGGGAGTGGGAGCCGTAGGCCAGCAGACAACGGTGCTATCCTAAATGGTAGCCATGGGCACGTGTGGCTATTTGACTTAAACAGGTGGCACCAGTCACATTTCGAGTGCTCAATAGCCACGTAAAGCTGGCAGCTACCCCATTAGACAGGCCGCTCTAGAACCATTTGCTGGCACTATGTTTCGTCTGGTACTGGATTAAATATAGCTGCACATGCGCACATCTCCACATGCACTGGCTGGGAGGTTCCAGCCTTGTTTGCTCTTGTCCTCAGCTGGAGGCACCTTCTGGGAACCACTGTCCTTGGTTCTAGGCACTTGTGCCATCTGGTTCGCAAGCCACTGGCCCCACGTGGCTGCTGAGCCCTGGAAATGTGCCTGTTGGAACGGCAGGAATGTCATTTTCAATTGTACGTAGCTTTGTTTAAATAGCCACCCGTGGCTGGTAGCTTCCATGCAGGGCTGCACAGTCCTAAGGACGGAGAGGTTAAAAACAAACGCAGTACCTGTCAGATCAGTGCCATGGAGAAAAGGGATAGGGTATGTGGTAGGGAGGAGCATATGCTAAAAAGAGCCCTAGCTGGTTTGGCTCAGTGGATAGCGTGTTGGCCCGAACACTAAAGGTCCCGGGTTTGATTCCGGTCAAGGGCAAGTCCCGTGCTTGCAGGTCTGGGCACATGCGGGAGGCAAGCAATTGATGTGTTTCTCTCACATCGATGTTTCTCTTTCTCTATCTCTCCCCCTCCCTCCCACTCTCTCTAAAAATTGACGGAAAAATATCTTCCAGTGAAGATTAACAACAACAAAAAAGTACTGACAGGTAGGCTGGTGGGTAGGTAGAAAAAGGAAACTTAAAGATAGATCACACTGTCCCTTCCATGTCCATAGAACTTTTTTTTTTTTAAAAAAAAATATTTTTAGAGAGGAAGGAAGAGGGAGAGAGAAAAGAAACATCAGTGATGAGAGAGAATCATTAGTTGGCTGCCTCCTGCACACCCCACACTGGGGATGGAGCCCACAACCATGCCGGGAATCGAACTGTGACCTCCTGGTTCATAGGTTGATGCTCAACCACTGAGCCACACCTGCCGGGCTCCTCAGAACTTTTTTTTTTTTTTTAATAAAGCCTGTTTGTTTACTTATTTGTTTATTTATTTTAATTTTTGTTGTTGTTGTTGTTGTTAATCCTCACCCAAGGATATTTTCCCATTGATTTTTAGAGAGAATGGAAGAGAGAGGGAAAGACAGAGAAACATCGATGTGAGAGAAACACATCAGTTGGTTGCCTCCTGCACACACCCTAACCAGGGCCTGGGCCAGGGAGGAGCTGCAACTGAGGTATGTGCCCTTGACCGGAATCGAACCCGGGACCCTTCAGTCCACAGGCCGACGCTCTATCCACTGAGCCAAACCAGCTAGGATTATTTAAAAAAAAATTAAAAATATATATATATATATATTAATGATTTTAGAGAGGAAGGTAGAGGGAGAGAGAGATAGACACATCAGTGATGAGAAGGAATCATTGATTGCCTCCTGCACACCCCACACTGGGGATGGAGCCCACAACCCAGGAATGTGCCCTGACTGGGAATCGAACTGTGACCTCCTGGTTTCATAGGCCGACGCTCAACTACTGAGACAGAATAGATGGCTCAGGTTTTAGTTTTCAAACATCCCAAGAAAACAGGATGTGCACCCGGATCCGACTCCGCTTTCTTCCATCCTGTAGCAGCGCTGTCCTCAGGATAGATTTTATCGGCCACTGCCGAGGCTGGCTTCTGGGTACCGCAAACTTGCTTTATGCTATGTAGTGCAGAGGGCTCTGTGTTATCGGTAATCACCCCAAAATGTCCAAGGTAGGTGGTGTGTCCCCATTTCCACACAGGGAAGCTGGCTTGCAAGCGGGGGTTCGCACCCAGGGCTGCCCAATTACAAAGCTTTAGCTGGAATAATGTTTCCCTCCTCTAGGCAGAACATTTCCGACAGTTCATAGAGACGTGCAACCAATCCCTGGGCTTCCAGCCACGGGAGGTAGGTTTCTGGGTCCTCCAGGAGGGAGGGCACGGGCGTGGGCACATCCTCCTGTCCCTCACAACCCGGTGCCGGCAGTACCAGGTAAACCAGGTCTCCTTTGGTGAACAGGCTGACCAGGACGCCTGGGGACCCGCCAGTACCAAGGTTTCCCAGCACCCAAGGGTCAAGCCCCCACAGCCCTCCGGTCTTCAGGGGCCAGACTTCAAAGACGTCATGGCCACAAGGTCATCTGACTGGCACCAGCAGCCCTCTGGAGTGGACGACTCCCCAGCTCACCACCTGGACACACGGCCGTCTGGGGACTCTGAGCCCCAGTTTTGGCAGGATGTTCTGACGCAGCAACTCTGGCAGATGTTTGCCGGGACCCACGATAAGGTGGACCCATCGAGACACAAGCGTGAGTCTCCCTAAGGTTGGGAAGTGGGCGGCCTCGGCACACGTGAAGGGCGGCACAGGCTGAACCGTGTCTTCCTCCTGCCTCTCCCCATCCCTTCCTCCCCTCCCCTCGTCACAGCGAGAGAACAGATGCCAGGCATGGTAAGTGAATGGGCTGGCGGTGATCCTTGCTGGGCCCCAGTGCGGGTACTCAAGTTTCTGTGGGATTGGCCCACCTCCTCCACCCTCAGCCCTTTCGTGCCCTCCAAGGAGTCGGGACTCTGTCCTGAGACTGTCTGACTCTGCCTGGGTCAGAGGCCTTGGGCAGTTGCCTCGTCCCATCCTCACCACCTGGGCTGTGAGGTTCTAAGACTAACCCTGGGCAGGTCCTTGGGTCTGACCCTGTTTCTTGCTGGCAGGAGAGCCAGAACGTAGGACCATTCTACTTTGGAGCAAAACCCTATACCGAAGATGCTTTGGGTAATTCCGGTGGGACGGCGGGGGTGGGGGTGGGGGGGTGGGGGCGGCGGCGGGGAGGACAGGGGGAGGCAGCTTGTTCCAGGGGGGCCATATCTGCTGCTAAACTGCTCTTATCTCAGCCCAGTTCTCCGCCCACCTGTGCCCTTCCACATCTCCCCTCCAGGTTTCCCAGAAGGGAGCATAGGGCCAGGCATGGCACCAGGGGTGATGCTGTCCCGTGTGGCCCAGGTAAGACCCAGGCAGGAGCCAGGCGTGAGATGCCCCTGCATTGAAAGCCTGGGCCTCGGGCAGAGCGAGCCAACGTGGCTTAGCTTTGATCTTGGTCCCCCCGCAGGAGCCTGCTAGGAGAACCTATCGCTTTCTGAAGCCCATGTAAGTGTTAGACCTGGCTCTCCTACCTGTACCTCTGTCCCCGGGAGGTGGAAGAGCCCAGAGGTACAGGCATGTCCTCACCCTCCCCATCACCGCCATACTGTCTTCAGTAACTGGAGAAGAGGGGTCTGGGTAGGGATGGGAAACTCGAGTTACTTTCATACCAGCATCACTATCCCTACCCACATGACCAGCCCAGGTTCAAGGGATTGGAGGAGGCAACTCCCACGGAATGGGGAGGGGAGAGGCTGTTTCCAAGCTGGAGGCAGGCATCCCCAGCCTTGTGGTCTGAAGCTAGGGGAGCCCAGATGTGGGAGAGACAGTTTGCCTGGAAGAAGGGGCATAGTGGCTGGGACCTTGAAGGATGAGCAGGAGTTTTCCAGGGGGCAAATCATTGCAGGCAGACGGGCGCAGTATTTGGTTATGGGACAGGGAGAATACGTGGAGGGGTGTGGGCAGGAGATGGGAAAGGGTAGTGTAGTGGGGAGAGAAGGCCTGAGAGAAAATCCCCGCATCCGAAAAAGAAAAAAGTCCCTCTAGGGCCTTGATGGGTGCCCCCCTTTGGGCAAAGGGGCTCCCAGGCAGGCCAGTGACACCAAGGTCTCCCCTCCTAAGATGCTGGGACCCTGAGGACTTCGAAGTCACATGGAAGAGGCCAGATGCCTTGCCCTGGCAACCCAAGAAGCTGGCCATCCCACACAGGATGAGGCTGATGCGGACGCTGAAGCATGGGGAGTCCGTGCTGGCCACCGCGGTGAGCAGCTTCACGCGGCACGTGTTCACCTGCAGCAGGGGTGGCGTCAAGGTGTGGAGCCTGGTCGGCCAGATGGTGGAGGACAGATTCCCCGTCAGCCACCTGCGTGTCCAGGTGAGCGTGGGGCTGGTTCCAGGGGGCGAGGCTTGTGGGAGCAGGAAGAGCTCCCGGGAGGGCAGGACGCTCACCTGTGCCTCTGCCCTTCCCAGACCCCGGGGGCCTACCTGCGCACCTGCCTGCTGTTCTCCAACAGCACGACACTGCTGACGGGCGGCCACAACCTGGCCAGCGTGAGCGTTTGGGACCTGATGGCGCCCTCCCTGCACATACGAGATGAGCTACCCGCTGCAGGTCTCACTTGTCAGGCCCTGGCTGCCAACCTGGAGGACAGCCTGGCCTTTGCCAGCTTCACCGAAGGCACCATCAGGATCTGGGACTTGCGGGACCACAGTGTGGTCAGGTGTGGCCCCGGGGTGGGCGGGGTCACCCTGAGAGCCCCTTCAGACATCACCTGCTGAGCAGGGACTCAGCAGTCCCAAGGTTAACGCCTTTGCCTGCTTGAACTCAGATCTGAGAGGGTTGAAGACCTGGGTTCAAATCTTGACTGGGCTGGGCTGTTTCCTCAAAGCCCCCAGTCCTGGTACTTTTTGTCTATCTCAGTTTCCCCATCTGTCAACTGGGGATGATTGGGTGAGTGATGTTCCTTGGGCCCAAAGCTTAGAGTCTCAGTTCCAACCCCCTCTGCTGCCTCTCCTGGCCAGGGACCTGCCGGGCCCTCTGAATGGAGCCAAGAGCATTGTTGTCAAAGACAGTAACATCTGGACCGGGGGCCTTGATGCCTGCCTGCGGTGCTGGGACCTGAGGACCAAGGAGCCCCGGGAATACCAATTTGAGTCTCAGGTGTGCAGGCTGGGATGGGGCCTGCTTGGCCAGGTAGCAGCTGGGTCTTGGGCCAGAGGAGGAGGTGGATGCTGTGAGGTAGGGTGGGGGATAGTGGTACCCCAAGTCTTGGTGGTGCTGGGAAGAATAGGGGCCATTAGAAATGTTCTTTCCTGTTGCCCAAATAGCACTGGATACTTTCACAGTCTTTGTGATAATTTCATAAAGTAGAGAGGACCCGCCCATTCTACAGATGAGCAAACCAAGGCTTGGAGATGTAGAGTTGCTTGTTGGGGGCCTTGCAACCAGGAGATGGGCAGATGGTCAGCCCCTGGGGGTGGTTCTCGTACTGTTGCCCACCTCCTGGGCCAGGCTGGGCCCTGACCAGGTTCTTTCCTGCCATGTACCCCCAGATAATAAGCCTGTCCCCCAGCCCCCGGGAGGACTGGGTTCTGGTGGGCACAGCCAATGGCCAGCAGTGGCTGCAGTCCACCCTCGGGGGCCAGAAGCACATGGTGGGCTGTAAGAACAGCACCATCCTCGGTCTCAAGTTCTCCCCTCTCGGTGAGTGGGGGAGTACTCTGTGGCCCCCAGCCACCCACAGGGCCCCACCCCACTCTGACTGGGCCCAGCCCTCTCTGACCTGCCCTGAGCCCCTTCCTCCCCTCTACCCTTCATCAGCCTGAGCCTCTCACATTGCTGCTAGGGGACAGGTGGGAGGTGGGGGGTTCCTCCATTTCCCGGATCCCCAGGAGTGTGGCCCTCAGCTGCCAGTTTTGACTTGGTGCCCCTCTGCCTCCTTCCAGGCCAGTGGTGGGTGAGCGTGGGGATGGACAACCTGGTCAGCATCTACAGCATGCCCACAGGAACCTTGCAGTTCCAGGTACCGTGGAGGCCCGGGGGTGGGGCAGGCGGTGCTTAGGCCAGGACTCCCAGTGCCAAGGGCCCACAGGGACCACATTTGAACTGACAGGCACGGGTAGGGGCCAGAGTGAGTGCGCCTCCCCTGCTGTGCTCCAATCCTCCCAGGCTCCCGAGAGAACTTCCGTCATGTGCTGTGATGTTTCCTCTAACAACCGCCTGATCGCCACGGGGTCCAGGGACCATGCTTCGGTGTACCAGATCATGTACTAAGGGGCTCACTACTGCCATCTCAACGCGGGGTCCTTTCCCCCCCCCAATGAGGGGGGAAGCGGTGGAGGGTCATGATGGGTGGGCCGGTGATCATTGTCACGTGTAATAAAGCAACTGGAAAAAGCAGAGCTGCCCTGGTTCTGCATCGTGTGCCCTGGCCGTCTTGTGAAGATGGGGAAGGACTTTGTCCAGCCTGGGTCTCTGAGCCTTAGAGTCCACATTCTCTGAGATCTGATCAACGCCACCAACCCCTAGCCCTGGGTGGTTTGGCTCAGTGGATAGAGCGCTGGCCTGTGGACTGAAGGGTCCCGGGTTCGATTCCGGCCAAGGGCATTAACAAAAAAAGCCACTAACCCCACTTGGGAGGCCGGGGGCATATGGAACACTTCCTCCTGTTCCCCTGAGCTCACCTCTCCTCATCTCACAGAGATGTTTTTCTGCCGCTTCCTGCACAATTCCAGGGATGGAGTTCTCGGTCCTTTTGAAAACGCCCTGTCTGACTAGACCAGAGCTTCTCACCCTCCCAGTGGGACTCCCATAGCACCATTTGCTCACCTGTCCTTCCAGGATAAGGAGTGCCAAACGGTGCCAACAGGTGTAGCTCCCTCCACCACAGAATTATCCTTCTCCATAAAGAATCTGCAGAAACTCCACCTGGGGGTGGCTTTTGTTTCCAGCAGGGACCCTGTCACCCTGCCATCTCCCTCCGGAAGGTCCCAGCAGCTTCCCTGCTCGGTCCCCCAGCCCCTTCTACTCCATGGTCCTGGTGGCAGCTCGAGGGAGCTTCCAGAACCCAGATCTGATTGCCACCACCCCTACCAGCCCTGCCCCTCTCTGGCTCCTACTTCCGTGGCTTTCTCTGCTTAAGCTCCATCTGGAGACCTAACCCCTCTTGTAGCTGAGGAGGAACCCCCCCCCCGGCCCCGCCCTCCTGGTTTTCACCAGGCCAAGCTCCTTCCTTACCTCTGAGTCTCTGCACATGTTGTTCCCTTTGTCTTTGGTGACCCTTCCTCCCTTACCTCTTGGCTTAGCCACCTCCTCTGGGACTGGGACTTTCGCTGTGATGATGACAGTGGGCCAGGCATTGTGTGCCAGGCTCATAGGCGTTATCTCTGGGCCTCAAAGGAAACACGATGCCACCCCAAACACCACATGCTCCACTATAAACCCCAACCCTTTGTAAATGGGCAGTGTCTTGGGATGATTCCGTTCAAAAGGCTGGACTAAAAGTGATCATGTGAAACTCTTAGGCTAGGGGTTTAAAAGCCATGTATGACCCATCTTCCTGGTATGTTGGACCCTGAAGTGACATATCGAGGTGGTGAAACCTCCACCAGCCTGGAGCCCTGAGTGTACCTGGAGTTGAGCCCCAAAGGCCACATGGACTTGCCTGAGAAATATCTCTTGTGTTCAACCACTGAGACCTGGGGGCTGTTTGTTACATGGCACGACTTAAGCCACGCTGCCCAATACAACACAGTATTTCACACATAATGAATGATCTCATCTAAATTAGGGAGGAGAAAGACACCCACACAGCTAGAAAGTGGCCTTCCTTCAATAACAGCTGCCCAATTAAAGCAACAGTGCCCAATTCCCCAGCCCAGGACAGAAGGAAATTGTGACAAATACATTTATTTCCCCAAAGTCCCTCTGCCCATCTGGCCCCACACCCAGCAGGGGAAGATGTGAGGGGTTGGTCAGAGAGCAGATGAGATCCGGCGCTCACAGGTACAACTAGAGAGGGGGTGCTGGGGTCTCTCCTGCACACCCTCTCCCCACGAGTGCAGGAAGGGGGTTCCGTCAGTAGACCACCTCATACACCGTGGCTTTCTTGTCCCCTGAGCCCGTCACAATGTACTTGTTATTCCCAGAGATGTCGCAGCTCAGCACGGAGGAGGATTCCTTGGACTGTAGGAGGGAGGAGAGAAGGCAGAGGTGAGGCGTGGCTGACACTGGCACAGGCTGGTCAAGCTCCCAGCGACCTGCACATGTTCGCAGGGATGAGGCAAGGTGACTGGGGCCACTGCCTGTAGCATGAGCCCGTAGTCAAGGTGGGGCCAAGACAGGAGAGCCCAGAGTGGGAGCCAGGAACAGGGAGGCGACACGGGTGCCAGAGAAAGGGCCTTTCTGCACAAGTGATGATGCAGGACCTGTTATTTGGACACCAAGGGAGGTGGGACTGGAACACTGCCCTTTCCTGGGAAGCTCAGGGAGTGCGCACCAGGCAGACACCCAGCACAGCAGAGGGCCAAGCTTAGGGCACGGTGACCTCCTGCAGGGCGCAGCAAACTCTCTGCTCAGGGCACAACAGTAAATTTTCAGGCTTGGCCTAAAGTCCAAATTAGTCATTAGCCATTAAATCCAGAGACTAAATAAATCAACCTCACTTTTTTTTTATAGCCCTTTAAAAATGTAAAAACCTCCCACCCACCAGGATGACTATAACAAAAGACACCGCAGCCTTAACCAGAGCGGCTCAGTGGTTGAACACTGTCCAGGGTGCCGAAAGGTTGCTGGGTCGATTCCTGGTCAGAGCACATACCTGGGTTTTGGGTTTGATCCTCAGTCAGGGAGCGTATGGAAGGTAACCCAATCCATCTCTCTCTCTCTCTCTCTCTCTCTCTCTCTCTCTCTCTCTCTCTCTCTCTCTCAGTCTGTCCTCAGGTGAGGGTTTAAAACAAAAAAGACACAATAGTAAGCCTTGCTGAGAATGGAGAGAATTTTGAAAGCTCCTATGCTGCTGATAGGAATGGAAAATTTGAAAAAGTCTTGCGGTTCCATCGAAGATTAAATTACCAACAAATTGCACTCCTCGGTATATGCCCAGGAGAAATGAAAATGTGTCTACACCAGAACATGTACGTGAATGTTCACAGCAGCACGATTCACAATCGCCAAAAGGTAGACATAACCAAGTGTCCATCAACAGATGAATGGATGAAGTGTCCATTCACACAATGGAATATTACTCAGCCTTAAAAAGGAAGGAAATTAGACGCCTGCTACAAAGTAGATAAACCTTGAGGACTTTATACTCAGTGAAATAAACCAGAGACAAAAGGTTAAATACTATATGACCGCATTCACAGGAGGTCCCTAAAGGAGTCAGAGTCATAGAGACAGCAGGTATAGATGGTGGTGGGGAGGGTTTGGGGGGAGGGAAGGGAGGATGGGGGAGCGGAAGAAAGTGTTAGTGTTTAATGGGCATAGAATGTCAGTTTGGGAAGATGAGAAAGTTCTGGAGATGGATGGTGGTGGTGATGACACAACAGTGTGAATATACCTAATGCCACTGAACTGTGCACTTAAAAATGGTTAAGATGGCACACTTTGTCCTATTTTACCACAGTGAAAAGGGAAACAGGCTGGGCTGCAGTTTGCGGACCCAGTGTTAGCAGCCGTCTGCAGGTGTGACGGAGGACCCAGGAGAGCTGTTTCACCGCCAGTGCAGCCACCCCGGGGCCCTGGGCACATGGCATCCTGCCAGGGGCTGGGCTCCAGACTGCCCCCACGTACCTGGAAAATGCTGGCACCATATGGCGTCCTCCAGGCATTGAGCAGGTTGTCCTTCCCTGTGCTCACGAACCACCGCCCTGGGGGAAGGAGAGGGGTGGGGGGTTGGAGGAGGGAGGGACTGAAGAAGCCTGGGGCTGTGGACTGCTGGCAGCAGTGGGCCTGGCCTCTCACTTTAGGGGGACACAAGCCCCCTTAGGGAACTGAGGCTTGATCCTTCCATTTCCCAGATGGTAAAGTCAAGGCCCCAGGCCTCCATCTGATTTGCAAGAAGGGGTGCCCCCAGGAGAGGGCTGGCCAGATAAAATACAGACTGCCCAGGGACATCTGAATTGTGATGAACCACAAATTATCTGTAGTGCAGAGGTGTCCCAATGATTGTTTTTCTTCTTAGTATATGTGTGTCCCATGCAATATTTAGGACATACTTATACTAAAAAAAAAAAAAAAAAAAAAAAAAAAAAAAAAAAAAAAATTGTTAGCGTAAGTAAATCCCATGCAATATTTGGGATGCATTAACTGCTTTTTAGTATAAATATGTCCCGTGCATTATTTGGGACATACCTATTGTAACACATTATATGTTGTTTAAGATTCAAATTTAACTGTTTTTGTGTGTGGGGGGAGGTGCTATTTTGTGTTTTGGCAACCCTGTCCCAATGCCCTGGAGTCCCCCCTAAGCCCCAGGCAGACACACCGCAGGAGGCAAATTTCAGGGACAGCACACAGCTCTCATGAAGGTGCAGCTGGTATTTCTCTGGCTTGCGGACGTGCAAGATCTCAACATTGCTGCTCTCCATGCCGACGGCCAGCCAGTCTTGGTTGGGGCAGTGGCCCAAGGAAAAAATCTGGGAGGGAAGAGGGAAGAGGTAGGGTCAAAACCCCTTGGGACAGTGGGAGGTGCCCAGAAGAAGGGGTGGGGGAGGGGGAAGTCCAACGCTCTCCCACCGAGGCCCCGGCATGGAGTGCAGCTGGCCCAGGGCCTAGCAGCAGCAGGCAACTGCATGTCAAATCATTAATATTAATCAGCATTACACGGAACCCCGGGGCCTCACATCCATTATCTGCTTTGAACGCACAACAGCTCTGGGAGGGAGGGTGGGAGGGGGTGGTGGGGGAAGCCAGGCGAGGACAGTCGCTCCCCTTGAGCAGATGGTGGAAGGGAAGCTGAGGCCAAGTCTGGCTCAAAGTCACGAAGCAAGTCCAGCAAGTCTGTGAAGGGCCAGGCCTTCTGACTCGCAGCTTGGAACTTCCCTACTGCCAACACCTCCTTTTATTTTGATTTGAAAGGACTTGGTGGCCTCATCATTCTGGGCCGCACCCCACACGAGGCACAGAGAGGAATAAGGCCCTGCTCCATCCTAAGTCTCACAAAGTCTTACAAGTAAGACATGTTTGGAAAGAACCATAAATATATAGAGAGAAGACTGGAAGTTCTCACATGTTCTCTTCTGGCCAGATAGAATGTTCCCGCATAGAGACAGGTGCCCGCGTGGGATAGG